AGAAAGAAACATGTCTTTTAATTATATATATATATATATATATATTTTGAGTTGTTGATAGACCTTTATTTATTTATTTATTTTTTGCTTATTTATATGCGGTGTTGAGAGTCAAACCCAGTACCTCACACTTCTGAGCAAGTACTCTACCGCTGAGCTACAACTCCAGCCCCAAGAAACATGTCTGGTGTCGGGGGGTACCGGGGATTGAACTCAGGGCCACTCAACCACTGAGCCACATCCCCAGCCCTATTTTGTATTTTATTTAGAGACAGGGTCTCACTGAGTTGCTTAGTGCCTCCCATTTGATGAGACTGGTTTTGAACTTGAGATTCTCCTGCCTTGGCCTCTGGAGCCACTGGTATTACAGATGTAAGCCACTGTACCCAGCCAGGATCACTTTTGATCAAACTTCTTGGATTTCTTTTTTGTACTGGGGACTGAACCCAGGGGTTATTAACTATTGAGCCACATTTTATTTTGAAGCAGGGTCTCACCTTGCTTTTGTTGAGGCCAGCTTTGAACTCATGATCCTCCTGCTTCAGCCTCCTGAACCACTGGGATTACAGGTGTGCATCACCACATCTGGCTGCTTAGATTTCTTGTATAGATTGAGAGGGTCTCTGCTTTATTTTTCAGGCAAGTGAGAGCACTAGCCATTAACAGGAACAGTGGGTCATGTTTGTAGGCCCAAAGGTTTTAGAGGGATATGTAGTTTCAAGGTTTTTAAGTGCATCAATCCAATGTCCTCTACTCAAGTCTCAGGATTTCATTTCCTCCTAGTTGGGTTCTCATCTTGACATAGCAGGTTTGTTGAGGCTAGGAATTAAAATTCATTTGGAGTTCTGCAAACTTTTACAATTAAATGGAGGGCCTTACCTTGAACCTTTTCTGTCTTATAGCTGCAAGAGATGAGAGTTTCTGTATAAACTTTCAGGGAAGCCCTGTTTTTCATGCTACTGTCTTCTGATGTCTGTCTTCAATGCATCAGAGATACTCAGAAGGAGCTATCTGATTCCATTGTCCTTATAGGTAGTATTTTTCCCAGTCTGTCAAAAACCTTAGAAATGAACTGGCTGGCACATTTTCTCTTGGTAGTCTCCCATTCACGTTCACCAATAGTGGAAGTTTCAACAGTTGTATTTCATACCAGGAACATACAACACTTCTCCTACCAGGGGTGATAGAGTCTTCATTGTCAACTGGAAGATATATAATAAAGTTTCAAAATCCTATTTATTTATTTATTCATGTATTGGTATTGGGGATTGAATCCAGGGGCACTCTAGCTCCAAGGTAAATCCTAGCCTTTACTTTCACTCTGAGACAGGATCTCACTAAGTTGCCCAGGCTGACCTGAAATTTGGGATACTCCAGCCTCAGCATCCCAAGTTGCTGGAATTACAGGCATGTGCCACTGCACCTGGTTCAAAATCCCATTTTAGAGTTTGATTCCTCAAACCATTTCTGGCATCAACTATCTTCAGTTGGGTTGTCCAGAAAATAGACACTGAGATGAAGATTTTTGTACATGTGGTTTGTTGGGGTGTCTTCTCAGAATCAATACCTTTAGAACTGGGCAAAAGTAAGGGTGCAATTAGAATGAAAACCAGGGTAATTCTGGAGCATGTTTTTTACCCTTCAGAGTTATCTAGGAACAGTCTGGCCTATTGGATGCAGGCTGTCCTCAGGGAAGGGATGTGACCTTGGGTGAGGTGGCTGTATTTGCTTGAGTGCAATTCCCAGACAGAACTCACATGAGAGCTGCCATCCTCCAACCTTCCCAGCAGCGGGGGAGAAAAAAGCCTCAGTACAGAAGGAGACCTGGTTGAAACAGTATCCACCTCAGAGATTGTAACCAAAGTTGCAGGAGAAGATTAGAGAAAAAATGGAGTCAAGACCAGGTCACTGGAGAGACTCCTACAGTTATGAGATAATAGGAAGAAGAATTGCCAGACAACAGAGAAAGGAGAGCAGGGAAACATGGAGCACAGGAAGCAGAAGGAAGGAGTCCAGGGGATACTTGGAGGTCATTCATCCAAAGTCCTAACTTTAAAGATAAAGAACTCCAGGTCAGAAAACTAAGTGGCTTAATTCCAGTCCACCCAACAAGTCAGTAACCATGCTGAGACGAGCATTTGTGTTTTCTGATTTCCCCATTTGGTTTTCTTCCTCAGATCATATATAGGTGGTCTCTTTCTTATTTCCCTTGGAGCAGGGAAAAGTTAAATAGAGAGGCTCTGGAGTATTCTCTTGGTGGGGGTTTGTTTCCTAATTTCATTACCTCTTTCAAAAATATTCTTGAATTATATATTACTATGTTAGTTCTTTCTTTCTCTTTGAATAATGTCCACAAAATGACATTATGGAATGTGAAGAGAGTTACTAACAGCCTATAGATGATGATGATGATTTTAAAAATACCTATTGAGGGGGCTGGGGATGTGGCTCAAGCGGTAGCGCGCTTACCTGGCATGCGTGCGGGCCGGGTTCGATCCTCAGCACCACATACAAACAAAGATGTTGTGTCTGCCGAAAAAACTAAAAAAATAAATAAATAAATATTTTTTTTTAAAAAAACCTATTGAGGGCTGAATGCAGTGACACACACCTGTAATACCAGCGGCTTGGGAGGCTACAGCAGGAAGACCACAAGTTCCAGGCCAGCTTCATCAGCTTAGCAAGACCCTGTTTCCAAACAAAATTAAAAAGGGCTGGGGATATAGCTCAGGGGTAGAGTACTTGTCTACTTACTTGCCTAGTAAGTTCAATGGTCCTGAGTTCAATCCCCAGCACTGCAAAAAGAAAAAAAGCTATTGAAGAGTTTCAGGAACATTATTCTCTTGAGGTGATTGAATGCCTCGCTTGTCATAGATTTGTGGCAGAAACAACAGTTGTTTCTTTCATTTCCTTGCTTTAAATATAAAGCTGATAATGCTTCTTTAAAAAACTTTTTTTTTTCTTTTTAGTTGTAGATGGACACAACACGTTTGTTTCATTTATTTATTTTTATGAGGTGCTGAGGATCGAACCCAGTGCCTCATACACTCCACCCCCAGTACTGGGGTTTGAACATAGAGATGCTTTACTACTGAGCTACATACCCAGTTCTCATTTATTTGTTTTTATTCATTAAATTAAATCAATTTACTTATTTTCACAGTACTGGGTTAGAGCCAGGAGGGCCCTATCACTGAGCTATATCCCCAGCATTTAAAAAATTTTTTTATTTGGAGACAGGGTCTTGCTAATTTGCCCAGACTAGCCTCAAACTTGCAATCCTCCTGCCTCAGCTTTCCCAGTCCCTGGGATTACAGGCATGTGCCACAATACCCAGCCCTGATAATGCTTCATTTACTTTTCTTATTTTCCCCTTCCTTTCCCTCTTTTCTTTTTTGTGTTGCTGGGTTTTGAACTCAGGGTATCATACATGGTAGGCAAGTGCTCTACTACTGAGCTACACCCCCAGCTCCACTCTTTTCTAAATAAAATTTATCAAGAATGTCAAATATATTTGCTGGGCATGGTGGCGCAAGCCTATAATCCCAGCATTTTGGGAGGCTGAGGAAGAAGGATCACGAGTTCAAAGCCAGCCTCTGCAAAAGTGAGGCGATAAGCAACTCAGTGAGACCCTGTCTCAAAACAAAAATACAAAATAGGGCTGGGGATGTGACTCAGTGGTTGAGTGTCACTGAGTTCAATCCCCAGTACCAAAACAACAACAACAACAACAAAATAACAACAAAAAAGACCTCCACCTACTAGATGAGATGGTTGAGTTATTGAAATGTTATAAATTGAGACCGTTAATTTAGTCTAGTGCTTCCAGACTTGTGATTAATTTAGAACAAAAGTTACTTGAAAAAAATTATTTTTGGATGATTACTTGTAGAATTAGTTGCTGAGCTCTGATACTTTAACGCTTAGTTTTCTTTTCCTTTCTCTTCTTTCTTTTTTTAAAACTCTTAGTTTTCCATACAATTTTAGAGTTGTAACTGAGAGACCTCTTGCCTAGCTTGAGGCACGTGGGCTCTACATTTTAAGATGATACTGGAAAATAATGGCTAGAAATGCCCAGGTAGCCTTGTGGGAGAAAACAGTTTTTACAAGGGCCTGATGCCCTAAGCTGATCCTATTGTCATTCTACCCTCTTTTCCCCTGGTGAAGAATTAAGATAGTCCTGTTGTGTGAGGACAGAAGGATTTGGGCACAATAAAGAGGTTAAATGTTGGCTGTGAGGATAGGACTTTTTTTCCTCATCTTCTCCCCTCTGCTTTATGGGGGGAACAGAAATTCATTATTTTTTTCTTTTCTTTATGTGTGTGTGTGAGATAGTACAGTTTTAACCCAAGAACTCTCTACCTACATCTACCTACATCCCCAGGTCTTTTCTGTTTTTATTTTTAGACAGGATCTGGCTAAATAGCTGAGGGTGGCCTGGAACTTGGGATACTCCTGCCTCAGCTCCGGAGCCACTAGGATTAGAGACATGAGTCACCATGCCTGACTTGTTTTGTTTTTTGACACTCGGTAACAACCTCTTTTAATAGGCCAATAATATTTGTTCAGATATTACAATTATTATCTACAGAAGCACATTAAAAAATATTCTTGGGGTGTAGAGCATGTATTTAGCATGTTCAAAGCCCTGTGATCCCTAGGATAATAAAAAAGAAAAGAAAAAAAATCTGAATCAAAAATGTACTTGCCTAACATAACCCTTAATGCTTCTAAAAATATTTAATTTCATCCATGAATGGCATATACCTATAATCCTTAGGAGGTCAAGGCAGGAGGATTGCAAGTTTGAGGTTAGCCTGGGCAATTTAGAGAGACAGTGTTTTAAAATGAAAATTGGGGGAGGGAGGAGGGAGGAGAGAGAGAGAACTGGGTGTTTACAGTAGGTAGGTAGGGTGTAGGTGGAGGAGGTGGGTCATTGGGGGCGTGACTTTGGGGTGTATATTTTGTATATATTTTCTCCCATATACATTTTCTCTCACCTCCACTCTCTGCTTCATGATGTGATGTTCTGGTCCACATTCTTCCACCACCCTCTTCCACCATGATGTTCAGCCTCTCAGAATACATTCTTGTTAAATAAAGCAAGTTAAATTTATTTGAGTTAATTTGTGAATCTGACAGGAAAAGCAGCAATCCAAGAAAGGATAATTTATCCAAAGAACTCAAATCTTCATTCATGTTTTAACACTAAAACAATACATGGATACAAACATATGGATATTGTTCTTGAAAATACCTGGAAGATTGGAATGTTCTGTTTTCAATTAAAATCCTTGCCATTGTGAACAGAGAACATTAAGAGGCAGCCTATTCTCTCAGGAGGGAACTCACATTTACTGAGTTCATGAGAATGATATATAAAATTCAAACTCCAATATACTAATCTAAAGTGAGAAATATATTGCTCAGATCTGAGAACTTGCATTAGCATAATAATGACTGCATTTTACCCAGTAGGTACACTATATTTCTAACCATCTTCTGGGCCACAGAACAGATCAAAATAATTTTATTTATTTATTATTTATTTTTTGCAGTGCTGGGGATCAGACCCAGGGCCTCATTCATGCTAGCCAAATCCTCTGCCACCAAGCTATATCCCCATCCCTCAATAATTTTAAAAGGAAGCAAGTCATACAAAGTGTTTTCTCTGATCCAAATAGAATTAAATTAGAAATAAATAACAGAGATGGGTGTGGTGGCACAAGCCTATAATCCAAGTGACTCTGGAAGCTGAGGCAGGAGGACAGCAAGTTCAAAGCCAGCCTCACAACTTAGAGAGTTCATAAGCATTTTAGCAAGAACCTCTCTTAAAATAAAATGTAAAAGGGGATGGGGATGTGACTCAGTGGTTAAAGACCCTTAGGTTCAATCCCAGTACAAAAAACCCAAAAAACAGAAAGATCTCTGGAAAATTTTCAAATACTTAGGAACTAAGTAACATGCTTTATCTAATTTGTGGGCCAAAGAAGAAAGCAAAAGGGAAATTAGAAAATATTTGAACTGAATGAAAAAGAAAATAGCATGTGAACATATGTGGAAGCAATTTCGGCAGTATTAAAGGGAAATTTATAACAATAAACACTCACAATAGAACAGCAGAAAGGTCTCAATGACCTTAGCTTCCACCTTCAAAAACTAAACACAAAAGGTCAAATTAAAACAAAAATACACAGAAGAAAGGAAATAATAGAGATAAGAGAAGATGAATGAAATATAAAACCATAACAAAAATAGAGAATATTATCAAACCGAAGCTAGTTCTTGGAGAGGATCAATAAAATTGACAAATCTCAGCCATATTTGAGAGGGGGACACAAATTACCGATATCAGGAATGAAAGGGAAGATATCTTCACAGACATTAAAAGGGTCACCGGAGGAGCTAGGCACAGTGGTGAATGCCTGTAATCCCAAGCGGCTCTGGAGGCTGAGACAAAAGGATGGTGGGTTCAAAGCCAGCTTCGGCAATGGTGAGGTGCTAAGCAACTCAGTGAGACCCTGCCTCTAAATAAAATACAGAATAGGGCTGGGGATGTGGCTCAGTGGTTGAGTGCCCCTGAGTTCAAGCCCTAGTATCTACTCCCGCCCCCCCCCCCACAAAAAATAAAGGGTCACAGATAACATTATGAACAACTTTTTTTTTTCATAATATTCTTATCTATTTATTTTTATGTGGTGCTGAGGATTGAATCCAGTGCCTCACGCTTGCAAGGCAAGTGCTCTACTACTGAGCTTTGACCCCAGCCCATGAACAACCTTTTTGCCAATAAATTTAAATTAGGAATAGAAGGGAACTTCTCCAACTGATAAAAAAGATTTTTATTGTGATAAACTCATAGTTAACAATATGCTTAATGGCATAAGAGTGAATGAATTCCCCCAAGATCAAGAAAAAAAGTCAAGGATAACCACTCTAACTATATATATAAAATAGCAAAATGGTTTTATTGATGGCAGAAGAAAAAAATTCTTCCTTTCACTTGTAATTATTTGCTTCAACTCTAGCCACTTCTATTGAATATTGTCCTGGAGGCCCTAGACAATCTAGTAAGACAAATAAGTCAATAAAATAAAATAAACCAGGTGTGGTGGTGCACACCTGTAACCCCAGTGACTCCAGAGTCTGAAAACCAAGGATTGCAAGTTCAAGGGCAGCCCCAGCAACTTACTGAGGTCTTAAGCAACTTAATGAGACCCTGTCTCCAAAATCAGTAATAAAAATGGCTAGGGATATAGTTCAGTGGTAAAGTGCCCCTAGGTTCAATTCCTAGTACCAATAAATAAAGGTAAAAAAAAAATAAAAATAAATCAATTAAAGAAAAAACAGATTAGTAAAATTCTTTTTGTTTATATAATATCTTATCTATATAGAATGTTTTAGAGAATCTAGAAAAAAATACAAGAATAAATAAGTTTGGCAAGTTCATAGGATATAAAGGCAATATACAAAAATCTTATTAAATATACACTTAGCAAGTGATGTAGAAATTTCACTTGTCGATATTAACCCAGGAGAAATGAAAACAGATTTGTATAAAGACTTGCACATGAATGTGAAGAGCAACATAGTCTCAGCCAAAATTTGGAAACACTCTAAATGTCCACCTTCGGTGACTAGATAAATAAATTGTGGCACACTGAAAAAAATGAAGCTCTTATTAGCAACAAAAGGAAAAAAAATACTGAGAGGTACAACAAAATACATAGATCTCAAAAGAATGAATGGGGGGGCTGGGGTTGTGGCTCAGCGGTAGAACCCTCGCCTCGAACATGGGAGGCTGTGGGTTCAATCCTCAGCACCACATATACATAAATAAATAAATTAAAGATTTTGTGTTCAATTACAGTTAAAAAAATAAATAAAAATATTTTTTAAAATGAATGAATGCTAGTCTGGGATTGTGACTCAGCAGTAGAGGGCTTGCCTAGCATGTGTGAGGCGCTGGGTTGATCCTCAGCACCACATAAAAATAAATAAATAAAATAAAGGTATTGTGTCCAGCTATACCTAAAAAAATTTTTAAAAAATGCTAAGGAAAAGAAGCTAGATACAAAAGACTGCATACTGTATTATTCCATTTATATGAAATTCTAGAAAAGGCAAAACTACAGAGATAGGCATCATAGGATAGGAGGAGGGCATTAACTACAAAGGGGGACCTTTTCAGAATGCTAGGAATATTTTATGTCACAATGTGGTAGACATGATTTATACATATATCAAAACTTACCCAATTATAAACTTAAATTGGTACGCTTTATAATATGTAAATTGCATCTCAATAAAGCAAGATCCATTATCCTGACACTTCAGACACTTGGGCCTTCCACAGGAAAAAAAAAAAAATAGGTAACCCATAAAGATTTGGGAATCAGGATAGCATCCCTACTTCTCAAAACAAACACTGGAATCTAGAAGACAACCAAGACAAGTCTTGAAAACTCTAAGAATAAGGCAGGCATGGTGTTGCACTTCTAATCTAATCAACTCGGGAGGCCGAGGGAGGAGAATTATGAATTTCAGGACAGCCTTAACAATTGAGTGAGATCCTCAGCAACTCAAAATAAAAAATAAAAAAGAACTGGAGCTAACCTCAGCAATTTAATGAGGCCCTAAGCATCTCATCAAGACCCTGTTTCTAAATAAAAATATATAAAAGGGTTAGGGATGTGGCTCAGTGATTAAGCACCCCTGGGTTCAATCCCATGGTACCAAAAATAAAATAAAGGACTGGAGATATAGCTCAGGAATAAAGTACCCCTGGGTTCATTCCTCAGTACTCAAACAACAACAATAACATTAAAAACAATAAAACCTTTGGAAAACTAAAGAATTTTATAACCAGCTAAACTATAACCAAGTCTAAGGGTAGGATATAGATATTTTTTAAAATATATTTTTAGCTGTAGATGGACACAATACCTTTATTTTATTCATTTATTTTTATGTGGTGCTGAGGATTGAACCCAGCGTTTCATAGGTGCAAGGTGAGCGCTCTACCACTGAGCCACAACCCCAGCCCTGGCTATAGATATTTTTAAGAATGTATAACCTTCTGCTCATCATTTCTCAGGAACTTACTGGAGGACATATTTCATTGAAATGAAGGATTAAACCATGAAAGAGAACAGAAACAAGAAACAAGGGTTGAGCACAGGAGACAGGGAAAAGAATGTATAGAAAAGTAGTAACATGAAGTCCTGAGATGACAGGTTAGTAACAGGCAAATAGAACCTGTCCAGACTGGAACAAATGAATGAAAGGCTGCAGAAGGATGTTTCCAAGAAACAAAATGAAACATTACCTGAAGTATCTGAATACATTGCAAGAAATTTTGCAGCAATGTCAATAGGTACCTGGAAAACTGAATAATAAAAAAGATGTGGCAGTTATTATTTTCAAGGAAAACATTAAGTTGCCCAACTTATATAATTATATGCTATGTGACTCAGTAAAAAATATTTACATGGTCATAATAAATGTAGACATGAAATAATTATTTAATTAAAAACAGCAATTTGGGGTAGGATTTTTTAGTATCTTCACTACAGTAGTTTCATTTTTCATTTTGAGAATTGCCTTATATAGGTTTCTCTTTGCAGTTAAGTTGCTGAGTATCTACTTTTATTAGTGTAAGTATCTTTATAGTTGATGCTCCTCCCTACTTCCAGATTTCTCCTCCTATTCTGCTAAGAACTTGAAAATCTGTGTAAAATTACGTAGGGTTGAAAGGATTTTATGCAAAATTGAAGTTTCATATTAAACTTTGAGTTGGTGGTTGTGGAGAGAATTTGGATTAGTAATTGAGCGGCAAGATATCTATATATAGAGAGAAGAACATAAATTGGAAAAAGCAGAAAAGAAAAAATCTAAGTACATTGTCTAATGTCATATTGAATCAGTCTCTTAGTTGTGAGAATAGTTTTAGTTTAGGTGAGCAGTATGTATCATTTTAGGAACTGATTTTGTGGATAGATGCTCATCTAAGTTAGAACTCTATATGCCATGAGAATGAGAGGCATTTCTATGGAAAAATCAAAGGTTAGCTGGCACAGTGGTACACACCTGTAAACCCAGAGGCTTGTGAGGCTGAGGCAGGAGAATCACGAGTTCAAAGCCAGCCTCAGCAACAGTAAGGCACAAAGCAACTCAATGAGACCCTGTCTCTAAATAAAATACAGAATAGAGCTGGGGATGTGGCTTAGTGGTTGAGTGCCCCTGAGTTCAATTGCCAGGACCCACTCTCAAAAGGAAAATAAAAACAAAGGTTAATAGTCAGAACAAATTATATGCCAGTTTTTAGTTCATAGGGCAGTCGAGAAGATTTCTAGATGTTTATTTGAAGCATCTTTATTTGGAGTGGGAGCAAGGAGTGGCAATCTGACAGATTTTCCTAATTTGTAGTTTGCATAGGGAATTCCACTGAACTTTATGGATACTCCACTCAACAACAGGCACAGAAATTGTCCATACATAAACTGTTGTGATGATTTCTTTGAAATCTGTATCAAGTTGTCCAGCTTCAAGGCTGGGATGTGGCTCAAGTGGTAGTGCGCTTGCCTGGCATGCGCGGGGTGCTGGGTTAAATCCTCAGCACCACATAAGAATAAAAATAAAGATGTTGTGTCCACCAAAAACTAAAAATAAATAAATAAATAAATAAATAAATAGAGAAGTTTTAATTTTTAGGGATTCCAAGTCAGAAGGGTGGAAGAAAAATTGAAAATATTAATTTGGAGAGTCATAGCCAGATATTGGAGGAGATTAGAAGAATTTAGAGTTCAGTCCAGTGTGCAGATAAATAATAACAATCTCAAAAACACTGAGAAGACTAGAAGCTAATAACATTTAAAGTTTTCTACTGAAACATGATTTTTCTATTATTATCCCTTCTTGCGGGCTAGGCAAGCATTTTACCACTTCCCAACCCTATCCCTTTCATTTTTATAAAAGATAATCAAAGTTAAACTGATTTGTTTGTAAAATGTTTAACAAAACTAAATTGATGATATGATGATGATGATGATGATGATTCTGCAGTACTGGGGAGTGAACCCAGGGCATGCTAGTACTGAGCTACACCCCTAATCCTTTTATTTGTTTTTATTTTGAAACAAGGTTTTACTAAGTTGCCCATGATGGCCTTGAACTTGTGATCCTCCTGCCTTAGCCTCCTGAGTTATAGGGGAAAATCACAGTCTTGCTCCACAGTGCCTGCTTCTTACAGGGTATTATTGTTATTATTTTCTTCTTTTTTGTACCAGGGATTGAGCCCCAGGATGCTTAACCATTGTGCCACATCCCCATCCCATTTAACATTATATTTTGAGAGAGGGTTTCGCTAAGTTGCTTATGGCCTCACTAAATTGCTGAGGCTGATTTTGAACTGTAATCCTTCTGCCTCAACCTTCTGAGCTGTTGGGATTACAGCTATGTGCTACTATGTCAGGCTCAGGGTTTTTAAAAGTCAGCTTTGTTGGAATTTTTAATGAAGAATCTCAGATTGGACTTTTTTAAAAAATAACTTTATATTTTATTTATTTATTTATTTTATGTGGTGCTGATGATCAAGCCCAGTGCCTCACATAATGCTAGGCAAGTGCTCTACCACTCAGCCACAAACCGAGCCCCTCATTAGACTTTTAAAGGTATAGACAGTTTAGAGAAAAGAGAAAAAGATTTCCTAAAATTTGGAAAACAAAACACAAAAGAATCAGCAATATTTCAGACAAAAGTCTTCTTCTTCTTCTCTCTCTCTCTCTCTCTCTCTCTCTCTCTCTATATATATATATATATATATTCCCCCCCCCCCCCGCTATGGTGGGGACATTGAACATTGAGCACACTAGGCAAGTTCTCTACCACTGAGCTATATCCCCAGCCCTTATGATTCTTTTCTATCAGTTCATTCAGTCCTGTTTAATTAATTCTTATTTTGCTTGATCTTGAATTAGCAGTTTTATTAATCCAATTTTCCCCTAAGAGTTCTAGAAATTCTTACTCATACAACAGTATGCCCTTAAAGTTATTACAAACCTATATTCCAAAGTACTTGTCAGAATATTTATTTATTTATTTTTTGGCAGTACTGGAGATTAAACCCAAGGGTGCGCTACCACAGAGCTTCATCCACTGCCCTTTACTTCTTGAGACAGGGTCTCAATAAATTGCCCAGGCTGACCTCAAACTTGTGATTTTCCTGCCTTAAGTCTCCTGAGTATCTGGGATTGCTAGCATGTGCCACTGCATCTGGCATTATTCTTAATTTAATTTTTTTTTTGTCTTTACTTTTAGTAGTATTAATTTAATTACATACATTAATTAGAATATTCATTGCCCAATTTTTCAGTGTGGCATAGGATATGTTTATGAACAGATTCAAATATCTTTTTTTGGGAGGGCTATTGGGGATTGAACACAGGGGCACTCAACCACTCAGCCACATTTTGTATTTTATTTAGAGACAGGATCTCACTGTCTGAGTTGCTTAGCACTCACTTTTGCTGAGTATTGCTTTGAACTTGTGATCCTCCTGTCTCAGCCTCCTGAGCCGCTGGGATTATAGGAGTGCACCACTGTGCCTAGCTCAAATATCTTTTGTTCCTCTTCAATAAGAAGCCAATGGTATAGAGGCTTAGATTTATATTTAGCAATTAATGTTTCAGCATTATATCTTATTTGAAAATGACATTGATATTCAAGGAATATCCATATTTAATTTAATTTAATATAATTTGAATTATTAAAAATTTAAGTTATCAGGCTGGGGCTGTAGCTCAAAGGCAGAGCGCTTGCCTAGCACGCGTAAGGCACTGGGTTCAATCCTCAGCACCACATAAAAATAAACAAATAAAACAAAGGCATTCTTTCCATCTGTCCTCAACTACAAAAAAATTTTTTTAAAAAATTAAGTTATCAAGATTTTATGAATATTATAAGTAGTCATATCTTGTAAAACAATCATTGTTGAAAAGTCCATTTATAGCTGGGCATAGTGGCACACACCTGTAATCCCAGCAGCTCAGGAGGCTGAAGCAGGAAGATTGCCAATTCAAAGCCAGTCTCAGTAATTTAGCAAGGTCCCAAGCAACTTAGCCAGACCATGTCTCACAATAAAAAGTAAAAAGGGCTGGGGATGTGGCTCAGTGCTTGAGCACCCCTGGGTTCGATCCCTGGTACAAAAAAAAAAAAAAAAGGCCCATTTATAATTTTTTTTTTTAAACTGGGGATTTAATACAGGGCAATTTACCACTAAGCTACATTCCTAGCCTTTTTCAAATTTAATTTTGAGACAGAGTTGCCCAAGCTGGCCTCAAATTGATAATCCTCCTACCTTAGCCACTCAAGTAGATAGGATTATAGGTGTGTTCTCCCATGCCTGGTTTAGCTTTTTTTATTTACCAAAAAGTATTTTTATTTACCAAAAAACATTTAAGTTAGCTTCTATTTTTTCTGAGAAAATTTTTAATTTAAATAAGCTATCATTTTCTTTCTTTCTTTCTTTAAAGGTGATATGCCACTCTTGAAAGGGTCTTTTTTAAAAAATTTTTTTAGATGTTGATGGACCTTACTTTATTCATTTATTTATATGTGGTGCTGAGAATCAAACCCAGTGCCTCACACATGCCAGGCAAGCACTTTGCCACTGAGCCACAACCCCAGCCCCTCATTTTTGTTTTTACCAAATCTTCACATAGGACAATTGTTTAGGATGAGAGTTCTCTAAAGAAATGAAATTTTATATACAGAAGCTCAAATCTCCAAAGGTATACCTACTTCAATTGTGATTCAATATCCGTAAGTCTTTGTAAGACTTATAACTAGTAAGTCTTTGAAGGCTTAATCATGGTGTCCCCAAAGTGTGTACAAAATACACAATCCCTCTTAATCAATATCCAATTCTTAAATTGCCCCCAAAAGCAAAGATTCTCATTGTTAAAAGAGCAAGGAAGGTTGAGACAATTAAGACAAACTCCCCTGAGAGCTTGCATGGTGGGACAGAGACACTTTTGTGTTTTGAACTCCTAGCCAGCTAAATAGCTGCCCGCCATACACCTAACTACTGTGCCCCAGTTGGTGGAGACCACAGAGACTGTTTTAACTGGCACAAAGCCACAGTCTCAAGACATAAAACAGGATGAAAAGAGAATCTTATTATGATTTTCCTCATTTGATAAACTACACAAAAAACAAAGAAACAAGAAATGTTTCTGGAAGGCGGTGAATCAATCATCAGTGGGTATCCAGAACCAAATTCACAAGTCATGGGCTGGGGATGTGGCTCAAGCGGTAGCTTGCTCGCCTGGCATGCGTGCGACCCAGGTTTGATCCTCAGCACCACATACAAACAAAGATGTTG